AAGGCAATATCTTTCAGTGGCCTGATACTTATTACTGACTTGACCAGGAGGGACGCTAAAATCTGTCATTTTTTGAGACTAAGTAGCATACTGAAAATTTTCGTCGCCAGAACTTTGAATCTTAAGAATCTCTAGTTCTATACTTTTGTACCCGTTTACCATTTTCATATCTGGGGTGCATTGCAACATTGATATGCCTGAATATGTCTGTCCTTTCAGTACCTGCTGATAGTTTCATGTTTAGAATTTCATGCATGATTCATTGATCAATCTAATTGCATAATGATGTTTGAAATTTGCAGATGGGTCCATCTTTCCCTGTGTCCATACAGTCGTTGTCAATTGCAGCGGACCGCCATGCAAGGAAGTATCTTCAATTATAGTATCTGAATAGATCCATCTTTAACTTGACAGTCTTAGTGGATCCAATTCTAATTTGGTACCTTAATGTAATTTGTTTAGATTTCTTGATTTTCCCCACATAAACGGATTTTTCCAAGGAAGTCACGGGTTCGAGCCGTGGAAACAGCTTCTTGCAGAAATGTAGGGCAAGACTGCATACAATAGACCCTTGTAGTTCGGCCCTTTCCAAACCCCACGCAACCGTGGAAACAACCTCTTGCAGAAATGCAGGATAAGGCTGAGGCTGCGTGCATCAGACCCTTGTGGTTCGGCCCATCTCCATACCCCGCGCATAGCGAGAGCTTAATGCACTGTGTTGCCTTTTTTTTTTTTTTTCAAAAAGGGATTTTTCTAAGTTATTTTATTTCTGCCCCTTAATGTAATGATCTTTACCTCTCCCTTCTTCAAACCACCCAACCCAAATCTCATCACTGTTGCCTCACATTTTTATTTTTCAGTTAAATGAAATAAGCATGTCTTCTGTTTTATGATTACAAGACCTTTCTTTTCTAGGGAGTTCAAATGATTGTGACCACACCAAGCAACAATCAGTAGAGAAAGAAAATTCGAAGTTATTATATTTTCTCTTGTTAAAAATCCTAACACGTTCAGTCATTTATGGAATTAGATGCAGTGGCTTGGTTTATATATTCTAATTTTTACTATTTCAAAGTTATGTAAGTCAATGAGGATTCAACAACAACAACAACAAACACCCAGTATAATCCCACAAGTGGGGTCTGGGGAGGGTAATATGTACGCAGACCTTACCCCTACCCCGAAGGGTAGAGAGGCTGTTTCCAGGAGACCCTCGGCTCAAAAAAGCAATAGGAAATGATATATTAGTACCATAAAAATGCGTAATAAAAATAACAACAATATATAAGAGATATGAAATATGAAATACAGGATACGAAATACGAAATACGAAATAGATGGCTGGTATAGTACAATTAGAAGGTAAAACCCTGCATCAATAGACGACCAATGACATTCCTAGTCTAATTCCTAACTAGATAGTCTCCCTCTATTGTGCTATAGAAATATTCACACTCTCCCCTAACCTACAACCTTAATGCTCGACCTCCATAATTCCCTATCAAGGGCCATGTCCTCAGTAATCCTAAGTCGCGCCATGTCCTGTCTGATCACCTCTCCCCAATACTTCTTAGGTCTCCCTCTACCTCTCTGCGTGCCCACTACAGTCAGTCGCTCACACCTCCTCACCGATGCATCAGTGCTCCTCCTCTGAATGTGCCCGAACCATCTGAGTCTTACTTCCCGCATCTTGTCCTCCATGGGGGCCACACCCACCTTCTCTCGAATATCTGCATTCCTAATCTTATCCATCCTTGTATGCCCGCACATCCACCTCAACATCCTCATTTCTGCTACTTTCATCTTCTGGGTGTGAGTTCTTTACCGACCAACATTCAGTTCCATACAACATGACAGGCCTAATCACTGCTCTATAAAACTTACCTTTTAGTAACGGTGACACGTTCTTGTCATGTAGCCGATTTGAGCATGTTTCAGGCCGAGGAGTGGTTTTGTGGAACGTGCTTGTACCATTTACTATTGAGAAACTCATTGAACAGTGCTTAGACGTATTAAATTTTTTGGAATTTAACATTATTTTTAAAATGTGTTTTATTTTGTAAAAGGTGATGTTGCAGGTGTTTTTTCCACAAGAAAAAAGGGTTTCATACTCGTTAAATGGGTTCGATATTTCTTACTTTCTTTGTAATCCCTTTCGACCAAGTAGCGAAAAAGAGTTGCACAATTAAAGAAGAGAAAAACTTGGTCCAATTATGTGGAAATTTAAGGACCTTATCGAAGAGAGCGGATCAGATTTTGTGTTCATGGTTCGGTTTAGGTCGGTTTTTCTCTAAAAGGAAACCAAACTAAGTAAGTCGGTTTTTCAAACATTGGAACCAAACAAAACTAATTAAGTCGGATTTTATCGATTCGGTCTTTGTCGGTTTTTGTCAGTTTTTCAGTTTTTCGGTTATTTATCGGGTTTTTTCTTAAATATGGGACATACACTACCAAACGCATATTCCGACGATTATATTTTTAACGTAACACTATCAAATCAATTGCTCTTTGAGAAATCTATTATTTACCAAGATATATTGATGATAATTGAATTAAATAGTGATGAATAATTTAAGTACTCAATTAAAAATCAATTATTTTTATCATGAAATAAATTCTTGTACTTGCAAAAGAAAACTACCAGTCAAACTAGAATGGAAAGGCAAAGAATTAGATTATTATAATAGCAAAGAACTAGACTAAAAATACAAATCACTAATATGTACGATAAAATTTTAGATACATTATATAAAAATACATATATGTAGGTGTAATAATAATTTTAAATAGGTACTTTTATAGTCGGTTTGGTTCAGTTTTTTTCGTTTTTTTTTTAAAACCAAAACCAACCCAAATTTGATTGGTTTTTAAAATTCAAAATCAAAACCAAACCAAAGCTAAAAAGTATCAGTTTTTTTGGTCGAGTTAATTTGGTTTTCGGTTTGGTTAGATTTTTTGGGTATTTATGATCACCCTTAGATGAAAGTAGCGGAGATGAGGAGATGAGTATGTTGAGGTGGATGTGTGGGCATACAAGGATGGATAAGATTAGGAATGAAGATATTCGAGAGAAGGTGGGCGTGGCCCCCATGGAGGACAAGATGCGGGAAGTAAGACTCAGATGGTTCGGGCACATTCAGAGGAGGAGCACTGANCTGTATTTAATCTCTTATATTGCGGTTATTTTATTATGCATTTTTATGGTACTAATATATCGGCTCCTGTTGCTTTTTTTTTTAGCCGAGAGTCTCCTGGACACAACCTCNGAGGGGACTATGGAAGTCGAGCATTAAGGTTGTAGGTTAGGGGAAAGTTGTGAATATTTCTATAGCACAATAGAGTGAGACTAGCCAGTTAGGAGTTAGACTAAGAATGTCATTGGTCGTCTATTGATGCAGGGCTTTACCTGCTAGTTTTACTATACCAGCCATATATTTCGTATTTCGTATTCTGTATTTAATATATCTTATATTGCTGTTATTTTATTATGCATTTTTATGGTACTAATATATCGGCTCCTGTTGCTTTTTTGTTTTAGCCGAGAGTCTCCTGGACACAACCTCTCTACCCTTCGGGGTAGGGGTAAGGTCTGCATACATATTACTCTCCCCATACCCCACCTGTGAGATTATACTGAGTCGTTGTCGTTGTTGTTGTTGATCACCCTTAGTCCTAATGATCACATCTTCAAATATATGAGGTGTTTGAAAATAGCCGCAATAGTTGAATAGGAGGATCGCTATAACTATACCCCTTGATAAGTTTAACAAAGATGAAAATAATTTATTATGTGATAATATAAGTATTTTTTGTAAGGGTTTCATCTCGACATCAATTCGTATTTAATGGTGATTTTACTTAAACGTCTTCCGCTGGTAAACAAACAGAAAGAAGAAAAAAAGAGCCCGGGGTATTTTCCACTTCATCCTCTTTTCAGATTTTTATATTTTCAATTTTCATTGGCAAAATATTTTACCATCCCCTAAACTTAACACGGATTATTAGTTACATTCTTAAACTATTCGTGGTCTTAATTACCCCCTCAACTTGGCCTTTTGAGAGCCAGTACCCTCCTGGACGCTGACGTGGCAAAAAGCGTGGGTGCACTCTCCTGCCACGTGGATTTTTCTGCATATGTGGCATTTTTTTGAAAAATAAAACATATTTTTACCTTTTTAAGTATGTTACTTTTTTATATAATTTTTTCGAATACAAGTTATAATAAAACTTGGATAGAATTATATTATTTAGGCTAAATTTTTTATTTGGCTAAAAATAATAAAGTTTTAGTTAATCTTTTTTTGAATTTGACTTGATAATAGAGATTTATACAATTGAAATACATAGTCAAGGCTTCTAAAAAGTTATAAAAATACACAGTTGAAATAAATAGTCATTGCATCAAAATAAAAAATAAAAAAAGTGTATCCATAGAGTAAGTTATTTCTTGCAATTGTACTCTCTTTTTATTTCTTCTTTTGATGCAATGACTATCTATTTCAACTGCGTATTTTTACTTTTTTCAGGTAAAATCTGTAAAAAAAATATATATTTTTAGAGCACCATAGTTTAGAGCTATGTAAAAATTATAGCCAAAATAATTAATTTTAAACTATGTATCTATTTATTTCAATTGTATAAATCTTTATTATCAATCAAATTCAAAAAAAGATTATCTAAAAACTTTATTATTTTTAGACAAATAAAAATTTAGCCTAAATAATAATAATTCTATCCAAGTTATATTATAACTTGTATTCGAAAAAATTATATAAAAAAGTAACATACTTAATTTTCAAAAAAATGCCACATATGCAGAAAAATCCATGTGGCAGGCGAATGCACCCGTATTTTTTGCCACATCAACGTTCAGGGTATACTGGCTCTCGAAAAGCCAAGTTGAGGGGTAATAAGATCACGAATAGTTTAAGGATAACTAATAATCCGCGTCAAGTTTAGGGGAATTGTAAGTTATTTTGCCATTTTCATTCTTGTCAATTCTCTCCAAGAAAAAGAAAAAAGGAAAAATAAAAAACAAATAGGAGCAAAAAGAAGAAGGCTGAAAAATGCCTAAAACCCTTCCATCTGTTCAGCTTCACTGTGAAAAATCACCCAAAAGCTCCAATGGCGGCCTTCGAACTGCTCCATCAAGCTCATCGCCACTGCTCCTACAAAACCCAATCTCACTTTTCTCCTCTTCTCCCCTCTCATTTCCACCAATTCCTCTCCTCTTCATCATCCCAATCACAACCCGAATCCCCTGAAAACCCGATTCCAGTCCAACCCGTTTGGTACATACCCAAGGACTCGCCACAATCCCTACCTACAGATACCACATTTCAAGCTTCTACCCGACCCGAGTCGAATACCCAAGACCCGGTTAACGCCGATGGTAATACGTGGACACGGGAGGATCTCCGGTACTTGAAGGAAGCACCAAAAATAACTCCGGTTTCTTACCCGACCCGAGTGGTTCCGTTACCTGAGGATCGGGTTGAAGAGGAGGGGGGAGTGGAAGCTAAGGGTGATGAGGAGCTGGAGAGAAAGAGGAGAAGAATCGAGGCGCAAAAAAGGGCGGCAATGAGGAGAGTTTTGAATGTTGAAGAGGAAATGGTTCCATTTCCAACATTGGTTAACGTGAAGAGTAGTGATGAAAAGAAGAAAAAAGTTGTTTATGATCTTAAAGAGGCCATTCGGCTTGTAAAGGTCAGATCTTTTTTTCAAATTAGTTAGGGTCGGTTACATGGATTCTTATTACTAGCATTTTGTTGTTTATGGTACAAAATTGTGACTCTTTGTAAAGTAAGTAATTGGATCATATGAATTGGAAAAAAGAGAGAAGAAAAGTTATAGAAAATGGTTCCATTTCCAACTTTGTTTAGTGGGAAGAGGGACGAAAACAAGAACAAAAAGGTTGTTTATGATCTTAAGGGTCCATGCGGCTCGTAAAGGTTAAATTTTTATTTGTTTCAACCAATGTGCTTTAATCCCGAATTAAGATTGCTCATTCGGAGCAAGGGGTGCATACTGGTGAGAAGAAAAAAAAATGAGAGCTATTTGGGAGTAGTCGTCTTGAATGGTGAAAGGAGTAGAAAAAGGAAAAGCCGAAAAGGGGGAATTAAAGCTGAAGTTACTGTGCAACAGAGTTTGTTGTTTTAAAAAAAGAAAGAGTTACTGTGTAACAGAGTACTAAAAGGGAGTTGAGGTGGTGTTCAAGATTGCTTCAAAAGTTTGGGAGGGTTGCAGCACCTGTTCAGTAATAGGCGGCGGTGAAAAAATGGAAAGAATAAGAAGAAAGGAGGAAAAGACGAAATGAAAAAGAGGAGAGAAACAGAATAACTGAAGAAGTGTGTCTCGTGGTTTAAACAGACAGGTGAACAGAAGTTAATGAAATGGAGATTTGATGTCTGAATACCACACAAAAACTAGTTGGACGGGTAAGATTTCTAAAATAGAAGTAATAGGATACTTGAGGAAGTTTATTAGTATGATTGTCATGTGGACAAATAGGATTAGATTGTATTGTAGGCTTTCTGTATCTTGTATTTGGCCAAGATTTGGGCGAAGGATTGACAAGATAACTAATGTTTGCATCAAGAATAGTTTTTGCCTAGTGATTGACATTCTCCTTATCCTAATGTTATTTTAGTTATGAAATATTATGGAAGAAGTTATGCGGAAGCATTACTGTAAAGAAAATTATACATGAATTAATCTTTTTAGTTAAAGATGGAGGTGAAGGTGGGCCGGGAAGGGATTAGAGCAGGACGGAAGAGATGGAGGGTTGAATTAGTAAGCATAGCCTAGTATGCATTTATCTCACTATATATAAATAGTAAGGTCCATGATGTTAGCAACTGCCTAATAGTAACAAGGTAGGCTATTGCAGTCCTTTAATTTTGTAGAAGAAGGTGTTACTTAGTCAAGGGTATAATTGTAAATAGCAGTATAGTTGGTTAATTATGTTAGCTGTCATTAGAAGTTACTTAACACTATTAGCTTTCATATAAGTAGTTAGTGGATGTACAATTGTCCTTTACTCAGAACATTTTTCTGCTTATCAATATACAGAGGTTGCATGTGTGCTCTTGTTCTCTCCGTCTCTCTTCTCCAAATCTAGGTATCTCCATTGTTGATCTTGTTTAAACATGACATGGTATCAGAGCCTTTTAGCCACAATTGTGAGCTAATTATCTTCGACTTTGCTGTCAATTGTTCGATGGTAGAATCCGTTCTCGAAAATTCTTCGATCTCAACAATGGCGAAACCAGATCTCGACCACAATCACATTTCGTATCTTCATCCTTCAGACACTACCGGAGCGCCGATAGTCTCAATTCAGTTGACCGGAACTGAAAATTACTCTGTTTGGAGCCGTGCGATGCGAATCCGTTTGTTAGGAAAGAACAAATTAGGGTTGATCGACGGTAATCTGAAAAGAGATGATTTTGAGAAGGATCTAGGTCATCGGTGGGACAGGTGCAACGCAATTGTGCTTGGATGGATAATGAGTTCTGTTTCGAATGAGTTGTTAACATGCATAGTGTACGCAAAAGATGCATATCGTGTCTGGGAAGATATGAGGGAGCGTTTGATAAAGTCAACGCATCTAGGGTTTATCAGCTCCACAAAGAGATTGCAACACTTTATCAAGGAACAAACAGTGTTTCTGTATATTTTACCAAACTCAAAGAGTTATGGGATGAGTACGAAAGCATGACTCCTCCAAGCTGTGACTGTAGGAGATCTAAGGATTTCAATGAACATTTACATAGGCAAAAACTAATGCAATTTCTGATGGGACTTAATGGGAATTATGAGCAGGCAAAGAGTCAAATCCTTATGACTAATCCCACTCCAAGTGTTAGCAAAGCGTATTCCATGATAATTGAGAGAGAGAGTCAGAGATCATTTTCAAATGTATCTATGGTAGGAGAAGATCAGAAGCCACAACTTTTCTGTCCACGAAAGGAGGCAGTTATCCAAAACCTAAGAATAATTGGAACATTCAGTGTGATTTTTGTAAGATGAAAGGGCATAGTAAAGAGAATTGTTGTAAAATAGTAGGTTATCCTACAGACTTTAAGTTCAGAAAGAAAGGACAGGGCAACTCAACTGCCTACAATGCCAATGCAGGGAATTATGCACCAAATGTTCCTGGACCTAATGCAGGTAGAAATAATGATGGAGATGCAACTGCCTTAAATGAGATGTCGAGGCCACCAACGTTTACTACTGATCAATACAATCAGATCCTTAGAATGCTGAACAAAGAGCCTTCTCAGGAAAATATGGCTAATAGGGCAGGTACTATTCATTCTTTTATGGCTAGTGTAGCAAAGAAGGATTGGATTATAGATACAGGGGCAACGAATCATATGATATCTGATTTAGATATGTTGCATTCTGTTCGCAAAGCTGATTCCTTAAGCAGTAAAATAGTGCAAATGCCAAATGGTCAGGTGACTTCATTGTCTCATATTGGGGACCGTTTACTTTCGAAAGATGCAGTAATGAGGGATGTATTATTTGTTCTTGATTTTCAGTATAACTTGATGTCAGTATCAAAAGTAACTAAAGACCTTCATTGCTCTGTTACCTTTTTCCCCGACTTTTGTTTGTTCCAGGACCTCTCAAGTGGGAGGGTGAAGAGGATTGGTAGAGAGAAAGGAGGCTTATATCTCTTTGTTTCTGATGCTGATTCAATAAGCAGAGGACTAATTGTTACTGCGAAGGAAAAGAATATTGATGTTTCATTGTGGCACATGAGATTGGCTCATGCTTCTGGAGGAGCTATGAGGGAATTGCTTGGAGCAGACACTCAAGATTGTAAGAATGTAGTCAATAAGTGTGGGATATGCCCCTTAGCCTAGATTGCCTTTTCCTTCTTCAAGTACTAGCAAAACTACTGCAGTAATTCAACTATTATACTTGGATGTATGGGGTCCTTATCATATTCCTACCTTTGATGGTAATAAGTTTTTCTTAACTGTGGTTGATGATTTCTCTCGTGTGACTTGGATTTTCTTATTGAAGTTTAAGAGTGATGTGCTACTAATCTTGAGAAATTTCTTTAAAATGGTGCATACTCAATTCAGCACATCTGTACAATCTGTGAGATCAGATAATGGTGGTGAGTTTGTGAATTCTAAATTCATTGCACTCTTGAGGGAATTGGGCAGTCCATTTGAGGACTTGTGTCTACTCTCCTCAGCAGAATGGTGTGGCTAAGAGAAAGCATAGGCACATCCTTGAAGTTGCAAGAGCCATAAGATTTCAAGGCCATATTCCTTTGAAATTTTGGGGGCATTGTATCCTGGCTGCTGTTTACATCATTAATAGATTACCTTCTGTCATTTTGCAGGGTAAATCACCTTATGAGCTATTTTATGGTAAGAAACCTATGGTTCATCACTTTAGAACCTTAGGTTGTCTTTGTTATGCTAGTGTTCTATCAAGAGGTGATAAGTTTGGTGCAAGGGCTGTGAAGACTGTCTTCATGGGATATTCCAATGTCACAAAAGGATATGTCCTATATGACTTGCAGAAACAACAATTCTTCATTAATAGAGATGTCACATTCGGAGAAACAATTTTTCCCTTCCAGGACAATTCGACCAGGGATCAATCTGTTCCTATACCCTCTGATGTTTTTGATTCTGCAGAAACAACTCCACTTATTTCTAGCTCCCAGGATGCTTCTCCTTTTGCAGCTGATACACCAGTTCCAACTGAGTCTCCTTCTACAGTTTCAGTGTCATCACCAGTTATCCCACCTTCTGATTCTCATTTGCTGGATGATTTATCCTCCACTTTTGTTGACAACTTTGAGGAGACCTTAGCACCTCTACCAGTTGAAGATGATACTTGTCTTAGAAGATCTCAACGAGTCACCAAACAGCCCTTATGGTTAATGGATTATGTGACTACTACTTCTACTACACAACCATATTCCATGTCCCATTATGTGTCTTATACTCAGTTGTCCAGCCCCTACCAAGCCTATTCGGGTGCTCTCTCAGCTACATTAGAACCTAAATCTTTTCATGAAGCCTCTAAGGATAGTCGTTGGGTTGATGCTATGAATGCTGAAATTCAAGCTCTGCAAGACAACAGAACTTGGGAGTTAGTTCCTTTACCACCTGGAAAATCACCAATTGGGTGCAGATGGGTGTACAAGGTGAAACTAAAGGTTGATGGGGAGGTTGAAAGGTTTAAGGCCAGGTTAGTGGCCAAAGGATACAGTCAAACTGAAGGTTTTGATTATCATGAGACGTTTTCGCCTGTGGTGAAGATTGTCACTGTTCGAACAGTTCTTTCTTTGGCTGCTATGCAAGCTTGGCATATTCATCAACTAGATGTGTATAATGCCTTCTTGCAGGGTGATTTACATGATGAGGTGTATATAGAATTGCCTCAGGGATTCTCAAGTCAGGGGGAGTCCAAGCTAGTATGCAGACTTCTCAAATCCCTGTATAGATTAAAACAAGCGAGCAGACAATGGAACTTGAAACTCACAGAGGCACTACTGCAATCAGGTTTCAATCAGAGTAGTCTTGATCACTCTCTCTTTATCAGAAAAGAGGGAAGCAGTATAGTGGTGATACTTGTCTATGTAGACGATATGTTAGTTACTGGGAACGACCTGAAGATGATACAAGACACAAAGGAGTCATTGCACAAAGCTTTCAAAATTAAAGACTTGGGAGAGTTGAAATTTTTCCTAGGAATGGAATTCAGCAGATCAAGCGAAGGGATTCTAGTGAATCAAAGGAAATATGCACTAGAGATTATATCTGATCTGGGCCTGGGAGATACAAAACCATCTTGGACACCATTGGAAGTCAATGTGAAATTAATAGTACAGGAGTATGATAAACTGATAGAAAAGAAGGATGATCCTCTTCTTGCAGACAGAAATCAGTATCAAAGGCTGATAGGAAAATTGTTATACCTCACTTTGACAAGGCCAGACATTGCTTATGTTGTACAAACATTGAGTCAGTTTTTACAACAACCAAAGAAATCACATTGGGAAGCAGCCATGCCAGTAGCAAGATACATCAAAAGAGAGCCTGGCTTGGGAGTTTTGTTCAACAGTAAACGTTCCAATAAACTCATTGTATACTGTGATGCAGACTGGGCCTCTTGTCCAAATACAAGAAAATCAGTTTCAGGATTTCTAATCAAGTATGGGGATTCATTAGTATCATTGAAGTCCAAGAAACAAAGCATAGTTTCTAAAAGCTCAGCAGAAGCAGAGTACAGAAGCATGACAACTGCAGTTTCAGAAGTTGTTTGGTTGACTGCTCTATTGAAGGAGTTGGAAGCAGATGTACTACCAATTAATCTGTTTTGTGATAATAAAGCAGCTTTGCAAATAGCTGCAAATCCAGTATACCACGAGAGAACCAAACATATTGAAATAGACTGTCACTTTATTAGGGAGAAGATACTATTGGGCCTAGTGAAAGCACAACATGTTGGATCAAAGGATCAAGTAGCAGACATTTTGACAAAAGGATTGAGCGGAGTACAACATGAATACTTGACAGGCAAGCTGGGATTGCTGAACATCTTTGCACTTACCAGCTTGAGGGGAGTGTAGAAGAAGGTGTTACTTAGTCAAGGGTATAATTGTAAATTGCAGTATAGTTGGTTAATTATGTTAGCTATCATTAGAAGTTAGTTAACACTATTAGCTTTCATATAAGTAGTTAGTGGATGTACAATTGTCATTTACTCATAACATTTTCTGCTTATCAATATACAGAGCTTGCATGTGTGCTCTTGTTCTCTCCGTCTCTCTTCTCCAAATCTAGGTATCTCCATTGTTGATCTTGTTCAAACATGACAACAATGTTAGTGCCTATATAATTTGATGCTAATATGGCCTATGAAACGACCCGTAATTGTTGAACGAATAGGGTAGGGTGGGGGTGGGGGGATATAAATGTGCTTTTAGTGCTTCTCAGCGAGTAACGTTACGTGCTTTTGCAGATGGCCAAGTACTTGAGACAATTGATGCTAGATACTAAAGTAAGTAATATGCATCTTTCTGCTCTTAATTCAAGTTGTTCTTTATGAATTCGTGCTTATTTTGTCATAATGTGTGCAGAAAGGTACTGTTACCAAAGATATCACAAAAGCAGTGAAAGAAGCAAAGCGAGGTGTACCTTTCAAAAAAATCAAAGCTGCAATTGTTTATGTAGGAATTGGGAAGGTACACTTGCCTCTTTCTCTTCTTCATCAAAGATTCTTAAGCTTCATTAGATAGTGATTACTGGAATGCAACTCTTGATGCTTTTCCCCGAAACACTGTTTGCAGGTTAGTTTCCAAGATGAGGCACTGTGTGAAAATGTTGGCTCATTTGTACACGTTTTTTTGCGTCAGAAGCCTGGTGGCCTAAAAAAACAGTAAGCAACTCTTGCTTATATCCTTATTGATTTGTTTGGTTAAGGCCCTGTAAAAAGTCCTGCTTCTCTTCCCTCCCATTTAGGATGTTCATCAAATGAGAAGTACTATAGCAAAATTAAGAAGATAGCCGTCTCTCTTTTTCAAATTCCTAGGTATAGAAGATGGTACAGCAGCAGTAGTGCTGCAAGATTTCCCTCACACAACCCTCATCCAATTCTTCAGTCCTGTGGTCTTCAGCATTGGTTCAAGAATTGGCAAGAATTGAGAAAGAATAAACTTACAGCAAGCACTTTTGGTCAAGCTGTTGGTTTTTTTCCCAAGCGCAGACCCCAACTCTGGTTGGAGAAAATCGGGGTGATTGAACCCTTCTTGGGTAATTTAGCTACGTGTTGGAGTAACATCAAAGAAGAGGAGGCTCTTGAGAGATATAAGCTGATAACTGGCAATCCTGTTTCTTTTACTGATTTTCAGGTGTATCGGGAAACGAAGATGGAGAATGACTGGCTTGCTGCTTCCGCCGACGGTGTAGTTGACAGGTTTGTTTATCAGTTGCCATCCAGAGGGGTTTTGGAGATCAAGTGCCCTTTCTTCAAAGGTGATATGAGTGCGGCAACTCCTCGGAAAAGAATTCCTATTTAGTATGTTCCTCAAGCTCAGGGTTTAATGGAAATATTGGATCGAGATTGGATGGACTTTTATGTTTGGACTACAAAAGGAAGCAGTTTGTTTAGGTTGTATCGTGACGAAGAATATTGGGAACTCTTGAAGATTGCACTTTCTGACTTTTGGTGGAAGCACGTCCAGCCAGCAAAGGAGTTGTACAAGAGATCGGAGATCAAAAATCCCCTTGTCAAACTACGCTCCTATAAGTCAGAACCTCAGCATGAATTGTTCCGGTCTATCATCTATGAAAGCAGGCGTGTGCTTGATAATTCTGTGTTGCTTATGTGTGAAGTTGATGGAAAATTGCAAAACTGAGATTCCTTTAGAAAGATTCAGTGGTACTTCTATAAGCATACTTGAAGTGGAAGATCACATGCATTGACATGGGCCAGTTGAGCAAATGAACTGGCCCATGTTAGAGCAGATGTTTGGGCAAAGTTGGCTCAAACTCTTATGGAGATAAGGTACATTTTGGGTCAGTTCTTTTAACTTTTCTAAGTCTTAAGCTGCACCTATCAACAGTAACCTGGTTTCAGTTTGCATTTACATTGGTCAGTTAAGTTGGAAATTGCTGTTGTCGACCCAATAACAACCTTCAAATAGGAGCGGGAAGCGGTGATTGCAGAATGAGAATCCCCACGTGTTGGTATAAGTTGTTCCTTTATCTTTCAAATTGTTTTGTTGATTTTCTTATCTATCTCAGCTGCTGCTCTATTATCATTCTAAACACCCTCTTTTAATCTGTAAATCAGAATCTGATAAACTATTCCCAAAAACGAGTTGAGCTTTGCATGGTTTATTTTCTATCTAAAATATCAGAAGAATAAAGGAGTATATATTCCTGCTTGATGGAGCAATTATATGCCTGCGGCAAAAATTCTATGCCTTTTTTTTTTGTCCCCTCTTTTAGAGTGGTCATGGTGGGTGTTATTCTTTGTAAGCACCGTAACATAAATGATGAATGCCTTTAGTTATCAGAATTCATGGCTTTACATTAAATGCCCTTACCAGTTAGTTTGATTCATTCGCTGTGGTGTCTCACCCTCTTGTTTATGTTACTTTGTACAGGTTGTCTATTGCTCTCCATGCTACTACAGATGACGTGTTCTACGCAGTCATGTTATATTCCAGAGCATGCAAAAAATTATGCTGCAGTTATGTATAAGTACTATGTCGTTGATGACGTGTTACTTATTGAAATGTGTCACCGTCTCATTTAAAAGTTTAAACTGTTAAAGGAAACAGTCTTTTAATTACCTTAATTATATTATGTCGTCAACATTATTAAGTTCTTATTTCGTGTGCAGGTAGAGATTCATGTCAATATCCATCAGCAAGGTAACTTAATTCTTATACTTCTTTTCTTTAACTTAACCTTGTTAGCACATAGAAATTCTGACTAATCTTGGGAATTTTACAGCACAAATGCATCTATTATGAACATAAGCAATGCCAGTGGATCCAGAGTATTTGGCGCCGGACCAAACACACCATCTACCTCATCAGCTGCCGCGACAAGTAGCTCTTTTAATTATCATTTCTACATCTTAGCATACCTTGTTGTGATACTGCTAGCCCTAACACTGAAGCTAATTTCGTAATATTGGTTTAGTTACTTTTTCAAAAGTGAGGCTTGACTCTCAAGTCATTCCCAAGAGGGGTAGTTTCAAGTACCTTGGATCGGTTATTCAGGGGATCGGGGAGATTGACGAGGATGTCACACACCGTGTAGGGGTGGGGTGGATGAAGTGGAGGTTAGCGTCGGGAGTCTTGTGTGACAAGAAAGTGCCACCGTTACTAAAAGGTAAGTTTTATAGAGCAGTGGTTAGGCCTGCCATGTTATATGGAACTGAATGTTGGCCGGTAAAGAACTCACACATCCAGAAGATGAAAGTAGCAGAGATGATGATGTTGAGGTAAATGTGCGGGCATACAAGGATGGATAAGATTAGGAATGAAGATATTCGAGAGAAGGTGGGTGTGGCCCCCATGGAGGACAAGATGCGGGAAGTAAGACTCAGATGGTTCGGGCACATTCAGAGGAGGAGCACTGATGCACCGGTGAGGAGGTGTGAGCGACTGGCTGTAGTGGGCACGCGGAGAGGTAGAGGGCGACCTAAGAAGTATTGGGGAGAGGTGATCAGACAGGACATGGCGCGACTTAGGATTACTGAGGACATGGCCCTTGACAGGGAATTATGGAGGTCGAGCATTAAGGTTGTAGGTTAGGGGAAAATTGTGAATATTTCTACAGCACAATAGAGTGAGACTAGCCAGTTAGGAGTTAGACTAAGAATGCCATTGGTCGTCTATTGATGCAGGACTTTACCTGCTAGTTTTTACTATACTAGCCATCTATTTCGTATTTCGTATTCTGTATTTCATATCTCCTATATTGCTGTTATTTTATTATGCATTTTTATGGTACTAATATATCGTCTCCTGTTGCTTTTTTGAGCCGAGGGTCTCCTGGAAACAACCTCTCTACCCTTCGGGGTAGGGGTAAGGTTTGCGTACATATTACCCTCCCCAGACCCCACTTGTGGGATTATACTGGGTCGTTGTTGTTTACTTTTTCAAAAAGGGTAAAAGCAATGTCTCAAAGACAAGAATTGGAAAGTTCAAATGAAAAGGCAAAACTCAAAAGTAAGAAAACAGATTCAGAATACAAGAAAATATGTCAAAGAAGATATGAAACTGTCTTTTCCTTTTCCATTATGAAACTGTTTAAATGAAAAGGCAAAACTTACATTTTGAAGGTTCCATTAATTAGGACAAGAGCAATTCTAATATTAGCAATACATTCTGGAAAAGAAAAGGTTCCTATCTACTCTAAACTTTCTCCAACATAAAATGTTTGTAAAAGAATCTAACACTTTATTCCCCTGAAAGGATGACTAACTACAAAACTGGCAGTAGGAGCACAAGCCTCCATTGTTGATGATCCACCATTGTACACAAAGAATGGATCTTCCAGCAACTCTTCTGCGGACGGCCTAACAGACATGGGAAGCAAACACTTCTCAATGATATCCTTCACTCTGGAGTCTTTTACCTTTCCAAGAAATGCAGGTTTTTCACCAGTGATATACACTTTCCTAAGTATTTGCCCTTGATTGTTGCATTCCCTATATGGATATTCACCCGTAACCATCTCAAGTAGACACATCCCGAATGCATATATGTCCACCAGTTCATTGTATTCACCATCGTAGAGCTCAGGAGCCATGAATTGAGGCGTTCCCTTAACCTCTTTGGCGAAATCACCCTCCATAAGATGAATCGCCAACCCAAAATCTCCAAGCTTAACCTGTTTGCCACCACTCTGAACAAAAATATTATCACACTTGATGTCTCTATGAATGATCTTTGGGTTTTGTCCATGAAGAAAGCTCAAACCTTCAAGAATCTGCCTACCCCAGTTCTTAATATTCCCCAAGTCAATACCAGTCCCGTTATTACTCTTCAACATATACTTTGTCAAACTGCCCGAAGGGAATAATTCTGTGATCATGTTTAGAGTTTTTGCCTCGGAATCAAACCAGTAAGAGAGGCACTTCATAACCCTCTCATGGTTTAAAGATTGCAATAGAACAGCCTCAGAGAACAACTTTTCTGGGGTTTTTAATAATGCTTCACCATCTTCTCCATGAAAACTTATTTGGTTCCACGCAATTTCAATGTTCTGAACTTGATCAAAACCTAGGTACACCTCTTTAAAAGCGCCTTCACCTAACACGTCACTATATCTAACGAACCTACCACATGGAGATTTCTCTTCAACTTTCTGTAACCCGTAATCCATCGTAGCTTAAATTCAAACTTGAAGAAAACAAAGAGATTGGAAACACAGAGGAAAAAAGATCAAAGCGGGTGTTCAAAGAATGCTTCGATTGCAGCTGTAAAAGAATCCATAACTAACGACAAATTTGGATGAAAACGCATGATGTTCGATAGCTTAATATCAGACATTGATGAGGATAATCTCAACCTTTTCATCTCATGAATTTATGCATTAAACAGAATGAAAAAACGATGAAATTGAGTGCCGAATGATGAGATTAATGTAGGTAAAATATAGTGAAGGCAGGGCGTAATATTTCTTTTTCGTTCGAACTTAGTAGTTATATAGGATTAGTGAAAATACTTCCTTAATTGAGTTAAAGTAGGATTAGTGAAAAGTTAGGATTTCAATATTGCGTTCCAATTATTTTTTCTTTTATTTCACAAAATTAGAAGCTTCTGCCTTCACGGTAAAGATTTCCTAAAGTTTTACAGTTATTTTCCTCATTTGACTTGGATTGAAAGATAGAAGAGATTTGAACTTCGAAATTTTTCTAGATTCTTTATAAAGACAATAAAGACAATAATAAATAGGTTCATTTAGTTAATAATTAGTAAACTTCAAAATATCTTTGTTTTCCACACACAAATAAAAACATTGTTTTGTTTAGTCACAAAGAGGAATTTTAAATTACGAAATTACTTTCAAAACTAAATTATTGTTAAGTAAGGTAAAAGAATTCAAATTGGATGTGTTTTTAAATAATTTTAAAAGGGAAATCAACTCTTAAGCCTTAACGATGTAAAAGTTTTTGGTTAATCTATTTTCTTAAATTAAAAAAAGGCAAAATATCTCCCTCTTCTCTTTTGGCAAATTACAAGCATTCCTTTTTTCTTTTGCTTTCTTGGAAATACTTTAAGGGGTCGTTTGGTTACAAAAATATGAGGTTATAATTCAGGAATAAAATATGTGAAGTAGAAATTTTTAATTTCGAGATTATTTATATCACAATTATGTTTTATTTTTATACCACACTCTATGAAGGATGGCAATCTCGGGATTACTAATTCTGGGATAAAACAACATATTGGTCATGCATTTGTCCTTCTCCAAAATTTTCTCCCAAATTCTTTTAAAAAATTGAATGCTAAATTTGGAAATAAAGGTTTATCCAAATTTATCTAATTTAAATAAAATACATATTTTATATTATACCTCATATTCTCATTTTTAATCAAATGAACTAAGCATCTACAAAAAAATGGTATCTCCATTAAATAATCATCCCTATTTAATCTGTGTATTGTAATCCTTACGTTATAATTAATAATTAATAATTGCACACAAGCAACAAATATTGACTAAGTCAGCATGTAATATTTTTATTGTTCTTTTTTAAACTTATGACAACGTGTACAAAAATACAGCCAGTATTATATATATGCTTGTTGTAGAATTAATGTAAGTATTACAGTTGTGATTTGGATAGAAAAAGATATTCATATTCCTATTTATTTTGCTAGATGTAGAGTGGTATTTTAGAGAAGATTTCTTTTCATTTTCTAAAGATTACAAATTAATTTGGTATAAAGAATTACATACAATTACCTTTTAAGTAATCTGATTGTAAATTCCTTGTGAATTTGTAAATAAAAAGGGTCTAATTTTTATTATGTTGATAGTAAAATTCGTTTTGCACTTTTACTAGTATAAGTACTTGTATGGCGCGCAAACGTCATTAAAGAATATTAATCATATTAAAGTATGATCTGATTTGTTACCATAAATGTTGTCTTATGTCACTATAAGTACACAACAATTAAAAAAAAATTATGTATTAAGTTTAAAAGAATCATATAGCATTTCGAATAATTTTTGGATGAAACTCAAATATAATAATTATATATTTGTGCTACAAATAACCTGAAAATATAACATGATTCAAACAATATCTTAAAACTTCTTTATCTACTATACGATTTTTTTAAAAAAAATTTACTACCTTTAACCTCTCAGTCATCAAGCAAAATGATTGGTCGTTGTTGAATTAGAGTAATCCTCTTCACCTATTGAGTTAATCAACAAAGAAATAATTAGTTGCATCTTGTGCTGCTTCTTATCCTTTCCATGTTTTTTTCCCGAGCCGATGGTCTATCAAAAACAGTCTCTTTATCTTCACAAGGTAAGGGTAAGATCTTCGTACACACGACCGTCCTTAGACCCCACTTATGAGATTATACTGAATTTGTTATTGTTGTTGAAATAATTAGTTACATCTATTTTGAAATAAGACAAGAGGGGTTGCTCTGATGGTAAGCAACCCCCACTTCCAACCGAGAGGTTGTGAGTTCGAGTCTCCCCAAGAGCAAGATGGGAAGTTCTTGGAGGGAAGGATGCCGGTGGTCTATTTGGAAACAGAGGTAAGGTCTGCGTACACACTACCCTCCCCAGACCCCACTAAGTGGGATTATACTGGGTTGTTGTTGTGCATCTAAACCGTGCAAGTGGTTCGAGAGTATTTTGAACACAAGTAATGCACGTGAACTCGTAACCTTTACATTAGATCCGCCCCTGCACAACCAGAAGAGAACATGTTAATTAGACCAGCAAATTAAAGGGTTTTATCATACCAAATCTTAGGTTAGTATTTTTTGAACTCTTGGATTACACTATTTTAACCAATCATATATAATCTAAAATTTTCATTAGATTAATTTATTTTTTATTTACGTTGTCAATATATATAAGCACTAGTTTTTTACTAGCGACAAACTATCTCTTAAATCTTACCAAATGCGTTTATTCAAAATTATTTTGGAAAAAAAAAAAAAAACTTAGTAAATTATAGTATATAGCTATCATTATTGCGAACATTATTTCTAATTAAGTTGATACTTGTTCAGAATGTACATCCTCTTTCTCTTTTTGGTTCTCGTCCGTTATTCAGTATCCGCATCACGACTCCAATTAATCTGAATTTGCATTGCGTAAGTTCCATTTAATGGTGACATGCTTACTAACAGAATTTTTTCATATATAAAACTCGAACCCAAAACCTCTGATCAAAGGTGAAAGAAATTTCATGTACCACTACCCTAAACTAAATATTATTTAACCAAGTCAAATGAGGCACATATTTTCTCTAGTCATTTGCTTTATTTAATTTTTATTTTTAATGTAAATAGACTGCTATCACATTGTGGGACCGCACATCCAATATATATATTGCTGGAACTATTCCTGGTTTTATAAGCATTAATTAATTATCCTTAATTCCTACCAAGTTGGAATATAATTATAGTAAAATATTATATTAAAGCCATGTGCATGCATTTCCTCATTAATAATTGGAGCAAAACTCTCGTCGATACCTTAACTGAAATGCAATTATCCATTTGATTTTTTTAAATAACCTTGGTGTCTCGGATAGTTTGTGCCCACCTTAACTACCTTCATGGGATATTTCTTATTCTCACCGGCGTAAATATCGGATAACTTATCCACCAAAACTTGGACAGATGAAAAGAAACCACCTATTATTTTTTCTTTCGCTGATATTTATGTTTTGACAATGTTTTAAATTATTTATATATTAGTAGTCCCATTTTTGTTATATAGTAGTAGTATGTTTTTTTGGCTCACTTAACCAAAATTGAAAAACCAAGAGATATCACGACGTAGTTTTAAAAAAAAAAAAAAAACATGACAAAGAATTCTAAGTCAAATGATGAATGTAAAAGAAAATATAACATGGCATGACCTATTTGAGAGTTGCGTATAACTCATTAATGTCGTGTTAGTATTTAAATGCCAACTGCCTTTAATTTGTTGAATGATTGTGAAATCATGTAAATCACTTTTTTTTTAAAATTTTTATATGGTATCTGATATTTGTATTGAGGTCCCTAATGATACGGAGTCGCGCTGCTTAAAGCCTATTAAAGGAGGAATCGTTCGCTACCAAAAAAAAATTCATTTCTAGGGATCAAATTCGAGATCTCTAGTTAACGATAGAAGAATATTATTCATTCTACCACAACCTTTAAAGATAAATCAGTATCTTAATTTATACACAAGAAGTCGAATATTTTAGAAAAATAAAAGTAAGTTGACAAATGGACACTTTATCTATTAGTAGCCACTCATTGTGGCCTATGATGTCCCCTATTCTTCTACTATTTTTTTAGGTGGTTTTTTTGTACATTTCATATTATATCATCTTCTTCTTCTTCTTTTCTCTCTATATGGAAGAGAAAAACCAACATCTCCTTCAACCTCTCATAAAACCAACCACAAAAAACTCTGCCATATACCCCTCTTCCAATCTTGAAGTTGATGAAAATAGCCACAAAAGCACTTCATCAAATACAAGTATATTTCTTAGGCTTGTTGTGGTCATTTTTGCAATAGTAGTCTCCTTATGGGCAAATTATGAAGCCTCCAAAGGTTTTTCCATAACAATTGTCAATGAAGCTGATGCTACATTTGCAAAGAGGCGTTTTGATCTCTTTTTCGTATCGAACGATGAAGCCACACGTTTACTTTTGAAGACAAGTAAATTTGTCGAAAATATTCTTTACCCTACTAGTGATGATGATTTTGGCCAACCCCAGATCAAGAAGCAAGTTAAACATGTCATACTCCGGCTATCTAGCCGGAATATGACTCGTCCAATCATCGTTGAGTCCCGTGACAACAACGATGAGTTTGTTCTACGTATAAGTCCTTCAATTTTGTATAGTCCAAATTATAAGCATGCCATGTTTTTGGCACTTCAAAAAGGCATGGCGCGTATATGGCTATGGAATGGTCAAGGCAATGCCCCGGCTAGTCTTGTAAATGGAATGATTGAGTATATTACTAGTTTAGCTAGTTATGGACGTGCAATATCAGAATCTGAATCAGTTGAGCCAGTGACAATAGGACGGAGTTGTTGGAAGAGCAAGAATTCAAGAACCATAGCAAAGTTTTTGAATTATAGTGAGGGGAAAAGAGAAGGATTTGTTAGAAGATTGAATCAAGCAATGAAAAATGGTTGGCATGAGAAAATGATTGATGATACATTAGGAATACCAGCTTGGCATCTATGTGAAACTTATAATTCTTCAGGTAAATTGTTAAATTCTGTGTAAGAGAATATGACATTGTCACATTATGTTGGTTATTTATGTCAAGATCAAGCTATTATTGGATGACAATTGGCAACATCATCACATGACCCCAAATGGGTGCACAAGCAAAAGAACATGGCTATAAATTAAATAAATTGAAGTGGGGTTGGAGCATTATTTCCATTCTTATTCAGATAATTGACAGATCACTTTACCATTATTTATCAATTGCTTCATTTTTTTTCTTTATTAGTTAATTTATCGTGGTCAACAATTTTGTATGGTGATTCTTTTTTATTTTATTTTATGGATCAATAATATTTATCATGTACTTTTAATGTGCGACTAAAATTCCAAACGGCCGGGCAGGCTAGGTTTTTCATTTTCAAGACTCGATTTAAATATTATTGGTTAAAGGGAGCGGAATCTCAATCATCTCATCGCTCCCGGCCCTTGATGGTGACGCTAGAGGATTCCATTTATAATGCGTATGGCTTTCTATTATCATACCTCATTGGTATGATGTTGGGAGGGTTTGAAACTTATCGTATTATTTTGGAAAATCTATACAATACAATCGTTCTTCAAAATAATAGCTGGTAAATATACAACAACAACATATCCAGTAAAATTCCACTAATGGGGTCTGGAAAGAGTAGAGTGTACATAGACCTTATCTCTGCCCCGAAAGGATAGAGAGACTGTTTTCGAGAGGCTCTCGGCTCAACAGAAGAGACTAGCTGACAAATATATATATTTTATATGTTAATATATAATATAAATATAATATACATAAATTGATTATATATATTTTAAATCCTTGGCTATCAGCTGTAATTATTTTGTATTGAGTGGCCAAAAAGCCCTTGTAAGACATTCATGGTTTTTTGATGCGCGGGGATAAGGTAGGATACGGTGTGAGATTAAACTTATATTGTGTTTGGTTGACCGGATAAATTTATACCATCAACCAAATATAGTATAAGTTTAAACTCATACTTGGTTCTGAATATCCCTCTTTATCTCACAAACTTGAGATTATTTTATCCCACTTTCCAGGTGTAATAAATTAGTTCATAGATTATAATTTCAGAACTATAATATATGACAAGAATAAAGAGTTAACCAGCACAATTCTAGCAATCAACTTCAGAATATTAGTTGACAATACAGTAGTATTTCTTTTGGTTTTATCAACGACGACGACGACCCAGTGAAATCTCATTTCAGTGACAATTTTGGAATATTAGTTGACAATACAATAGTATTTCTTTTGGTTTTATCAACAACGACGACGACGACCCAGTGAAATCTCATTTCAGTGACAATTTTGGAATATTAGTTGACAATACAATAGTATTTCTTTTGGTTTTATCAACAACGACGACGACGACCCAGTGAAATCTCATTTCAGTGACAATTTTGGAATATTAGTTGACAATACAATAGTATTTCTTTTGGTTTTATCAACAACGACGACGACGACCCAGTGAAATCTCATTTCAGTGACAATTTTGGAATATTAGTTGACAATACAATAGTATTTCTTTTGGTTTTATCAACAACGACGACGACGACCCAGTGAAATCTCATTTCAGTGACAATTTTGGAATATTAGTTGACAATACAATAGTATTTCTTTTGGTTTTATCAACAACGACGACGACGACCCAGTGAAATCTCATTTCAGTGACAATTTTGGAATATTAGTTGACAATACAATAGTATTTCTTTTGGTTTTATCAACAACGACGACGACGACCCAGTGAAATCTCA